TGAAGTTGAATGAGCTAGAAATAGTCTCTGAAAACACAAGTGTTCTGTGAAGAGAAATCATATTTGTGTTTGCATGGAAATCTTGACTGTTTCCATGATATTTTCTTAGTGCTATGAAGGCATAAGGGAGGTAGGGGAGAAGAGGATAAGCTTTGATTTGATTAGTCCCTCTGCATGTGTTCCATCCTATACATAAATTCGGTGGAAATACAGTCTCTTCTGGTTGGTGTCATGAATTCTGTCTCTTTTAATTTGAAAAGTGAACAGAAACCAGTAACTCAATTAAAAGGGTTGTTTTAAATAGGTCGCAGGCAGGAGGCTGCACTGCTGGAGTGGGGAGGTCTAAACCCAGTTCCCAGCCCTCTTCCCCACCTGCCTCTCCCCAGCCTTGCAACCACTGCACGTGGCTCCTTCCCTGAGCAGGCTGTGCTGGGCTGTGACCTCACCAGCCACCCCCTCTGCCTGTACCTGGGGAGAAGGCCCAGCTATTGAGAGGTGGTCCTAAGGTTTATAAAATCGTCATTTAATTTGTGTTCAAAATATTTTTTTTTCTTCTTTCTGGAAGTCATACTTGATCTGGAAAATCAAATACAAAGATACCAGTCTTCTTTTCCTTACCCCCACTTGCCAATGTGTGTTCAAATTAAAAAAAAGGTTAATGAATTGCAGAGGAGACTTTGTGATGTGTGAAGGGAATTACCTTAGCTGTTTTCAAGAAAATATGTCTAAATCTCATTTAAAAATGAGAAAAATCTGTGTGTCACACACTGTCACTAATCACATTTTTATTTGCTAGAAGATTTTAAATGAGGGAAGGAGGAAGTGGAACCTGTAGAATTCTTGCTGGTCTTTGTATCAGTCAAGATCTGCCATCATTCTCAAGTTTATATTTTTAATATATAGAATTAAAATCTGGTTGCTGAAAATCAAAGGCCTTGTGTATATTTGTCATGGTATGGATAGTGATTTGTTTGGCTTTTTAATACTGCATAAACCCCAATTAATACCTGGTGTGTGTGTGATTGCAGACCTGTAAAAAAGGAAAAAAAGGACCTGCAGAGAAGGGGAAAAGTGGAAACGGAGGAGGGAAACCTGGTGGTCCAAATCGGATGAATGGACATCACCAACAGAATGGTGTGGAAAACATGATGCTGTTTGAGGTAGTGAAAATGGGCAAGAGTGCTATGCAGGTAAGATCTGGGTTATCCTGGGACTTGAATTATGTACAGTTTAAATAGAACAGTACTTTCCATGCACTTTAATCAAGTGAAGCCTAAAGTAATATTTTTCTTAAATTTCTTGGGTTTAGTTCCAGACAAAATAAAGTGGTTTTTCATTGTTAAGGTTTGAGTTTGAATGAACTAATTTTTTATTTTTAAATGTTAGGCATGAAGAATCACATATATAATGAAGAAACTCATACTATGATTAAAAGTAAATTTTCAGTATCCTGAATGAAGAAAGTTTATTTTAGATTACATGACTTTAAAGTCCTTTTTGTGTGACTGTAACTAAATATAAATGTGGTTTAGGCCTGTAGTTGCCATAGAAGTCTGTAGTTTGTTAATCCTTCCAGAGCTTAGATTATCTGAAAATAAATAGCTGCTTTTCTTCTCTGACATGAAGTAAAATCACAAACTACAACTTCAGAGCTCCTCTTTAAAATTTCCTGACCCAAATTCCAGCCAATTCCAGTGTAGCAATTTACATTAGCCATGTCAGCTTAGAGGGAGTTTAAGCTGTGCATTGGGCACTGCATTTACTATCAGGGCTGAAGTCAGACTAGTAAGAAATGGAGCACTTTTTCTTTTAAAAAATTCAGTCTAAAGTGTTTACTTGACTGTGAGTCTTCCAGTGGAGAGAGGGTTAAGGTGTGAGCCGGTCAGCCATGAAACCTTCCTGCTGACTCACTCATGTGACTCCTGGGCAGCCTGCAAGAAAGTCTGTCTTTGGGGCTGGAAATGTGGAATTTGCAGCTTCTGTGGTACCCATGCAGCGAGCTGGGCCGCTCTGCAGTGCTCTCAGGTGTGCAGGCTCCTGCACTGGAGCTGGGAACAACAGTGTGTTAATAAAATTGTGTGGGTTTATGTTTTTATGGCCTCAGCAGTAGGCAGTTTGTACCATACACCTGGATGGTTGCAACGTAATTGTGTGTAAATTGTGTGTTCTCCAAACTGTTATCACAGGTTTCCTATTGATTTGCTTCACATTAAGGTTTGTTAATAAAATGCTCTTGTTCCTCTTTAGTGACTACAGAGTAATTACTGTCCATGCAGTGGAGGGCAGTGCTGTCCATCCTGTTTTGGCAAATGTGCACGGAGCACATTTCATCAAAGGAACACTTTTTGAAATACAGGGAGCTGTAGCTGTTGGAACTGAACACCCAAAGAGTAGCTGTAGAGAAGTGTCATTAGCTTGGTGAGATGGGGTGGTTGTAAATAAAACACCCGATTCTGTAAAATATACCAACTATTTTGCACTCTTCCTCCAAAAAAGTTACAGTAGGAGGATGTGGCATTCCTGTGCTTTATGCTAAGGTGTCAGTTTTGTACTTGTATATTATGTTTATAGAATGAGTTCTTTATTTTGAGGACTGATATTATGGCAGTAGAGGATTATTGAGACATTTAGTTCTGTAATCCAAAAAACCCACAAACTTCAAGTTACTGAAGGAATGAAGAAGAATCACTCATGGAAAGCAGTTAAATAACATTGTCTTCAATTTATGAAAACTGAACGGTGCCTTTTTTATTTGTTTCCTTTCAGTCTGTAGTGGATGACTGGATAGAGTCGTATAAACATGACAGAGATATAGCACTTCTTGATCTCATTAACTTCTTTATTCAGTGTTCAGGCTGCAAAGGTAAGATACTGAAATGTGACTTTTAAGTAATATTGTAGTATAATAATATTTTGCTTGTATACTGCAGATGCTGTAGAAATGCTCCATCCCTGCAGCTAGTTTACATTATCAGGTTCTTGGAGTTAAACTAGGATTTTGGAAGGTGTGAGCAGGAGATTTAGAGATATTATAATTTAAAATGTAGATTAAACCTTTTGTATTTACAGCAGATAGAGTGCAATACTGGTACTTAACACTGGCTTCATCTTCCTCTGTTCCTGCTATTATTTCAGAAACCATCTCTCTTAGCACTGATAGTTTAGCTTGTTCAGTCTTGGCATTCTGGATTGGGTTTATCTGTTCCTATCAGTGAGTGTTTTAAGATTGCCTCATAGCTTTTGTAGACATGCTTGATGTAAAAGATAGAATGGACAACTTCATGGTGGCCTGTCTACAGTGAGCTGCTATTTCCATATTTTATCTTCTTCTTTATTTTCTGATTTTCTTTCCTCATTTCCACATCCTTCATTGTTTTTCCTCTTTCCCCTCTTTTTGAAGAGGAGGTAACTTACCCTGCAGTGTCACTGAGCTTGATAGAGCAGGACTGGCTGTAATTTGTTCTGCTCAAGCGTTTCCCTGTCCTGATAAACTTTGAACATGGTAAATCTGCAGAAAGCCAGCAGCATTCCTCAGAGGTTATCCCTGCTTTCAGGAGCAGTGACCTTTTGATTATTGGTACAAGATAAAGCTGCAGAATCTTTTAGTGCTTTCTGTGGTGATCCTTGTCATGAATTTTGCAGTAAACTTCGGGAGATCTTTTTGGTTTTTATATCACTATTTACACCCTAACAATTTGAGCCCAAGACATATAGAAATTTCATGAAATCACTCTGTTTAGTGGAGTGCAGAAGATAATAAGTAGCCATACAGCTCTTCAGAATTATCTTACAACATCTAGAATCTTGAGTTGTAAAAGGTCACTTTAGATGGTGTAATCTCTTGTTGATAAAAAGGTCTGGCTCAAGTGTCTTTGACTTCTGAATGTGAGTGACTGAGTAAATTCTAGATGTGTGTGTACATGCACATAAACACACTTCTTAAATAGAATAATAAACCCCCATATATATGTATATGTATGGTGTCAAGTGCTTGTTACACATGGATGCTAAAAAAAAAAAATGTGGAAATTATTTAAAAAATACATGTGTAAACTGTAGGTGAGCTGAAAATGGATCGTTTTTACGTTGTAGCAGGAGTCGTGTCATCTGCCATCTACCCACTTTCATATTAAAAGTGCTAACAGTTAAATATCTACATTGTAGGGGTTGTTACAGCAGAGATGTTCCGACATATGCAGAATTCTGAAATAATCCGAAAAATGACTGAAGAATTTGATGAGGTAATTTAATGAACTGTTGATTATTGATATTATTGAATTATTGATATTAATTTTATTTTTACCTGTCCTAATGTTGCTGGATCGTGTTGTTAAGAGGTTTGTTTCAAGGATAAGTTCATCTACAAAAATGACAGGGCTTTTTTGAGTGAAAATATTTAACTGCCTTATTTCACTGAACTTGTAAGACTAGGAAGTAAAACTCTGCATGTAACTTGTTTTATTAATGGTTTAAGAAATCAATATCGAGTGAGTTTTTAAGTAGTGGGAACTCCTACTACTGTGGGTCTGTGTGGGATGACTCCCCATTCCTGATGTGTGTGTAAGGCCTTAAATTCTCTTTTGTAATGGTTGCTAGATTTATTTCTATGCATTCATTAATCTATAAATTGTGGGGTTTTGAATTTGATTATGTTCCAGTAAAGACTAATACTTTCTTTCTTGGGGATTATAACTGTTTTTTCTTTAAGTTGTCACTTCCTGTCCTTTGAGTATTGGGGTAAATGGGATATGTTGGGGTTTTTTTGGTGGTGATTTTCTTTTTGGTTGGGTTTTTTTTTTTTGTGGATTTGAGTGATGTTCCTTTCACCCCATGTACCAAAGAACATGAAGGTAGCTTGAAAACCTCCTGCCCAAATTTGTCCAGTACAGAAATAATCCCTCCTCCCCCACATTAAAAAAAAAATCCTTAACTGAGGGGAAAATGTAATGCCCTTTTTTAAAAAAGGATTTTAGTGTTCCTTAGAAATATCTCAAGGCATAAATAGATTTGATTACTCTAAGGCAATATTGTATGAAATTTTTAAAGCCACAGCTCGGACTGTTTGCACATGGATTTTTTTTTCACTGTCATGCTTACTTTTTCTTGTAACAGAATTCTAATGAACAACTCTGATTTCTAATCCCTTTTCATGGGTACTTCTGTCATTTTTCAACCTGTATTGTTGTTCAACCTCTTAAAGAAACTCTTCACAGAAACACTGACACAAATGAATTTTTTTTCTCCTTGTCATTTTACCATGATTATTGTAAAGACTCCCAAATCAGGAAAGGAACACACATTAGTTATACTCAACGTCTTGTAGTTGGTCATCTTGTGACATCAGGAAGTTTCAGTCTGATATGTAAACATCTCCCTCAAAACTTTGTTATGGTCCTCAGTTGACTTTTCCTAACCCAGTCACTGCTCTGTTCGTGTGCTGGGTCTGGTGGAACCTGAAGCAGATTTGTAAGCCGTATGATTTTTCTTTTTTTCCTTCTTTTCTGGGAGTCAGAACAAGAAGGAGAAATTAGTAGTTAAAATGTTGTCTTTGTGCTACAACAAGCCTGAACTGCAAAGTTGGATGCATATTTATGGAATCAGATCCTTCTGATGTATCGTTTTTAGCGCCTTGGAGGTTTTGCCTTTAAAGTTGTACCCGTCTCTTTTTAATCTTTATTTCATGAAATCATTTTTAAGATGTTTGAAAAGAGTTTCCTTTTCTGTTTTCTAATAGGATAGTGGAGATTACCCACTGACTATGGCTGGCCCCCAGTGGAAGAAGTTCAAATCCAGTTTTTGTGAGTTCATTGGAGTACTCGTCCGGCAGTGTCAGTACAGCATCATATATGATGAGTATATGATGGATACTGTCATTTCACTGCTCACGGGGCTGTCAGACTCACAAGTCAGAGCATT